ATATGTTATACTTTATATTTTATAGTTTATAGTTTATATCTTATAGTTTATATCTTATAGTTTATATCTTATACTTTATATGTTATACTTTATATGTTATACTTTATAGTTTATATCTTATAGTTTATATTTTATATGTTATACTTTATAGTTTATATCTTATAGTTTATATCTTATACATTATATGTTATACTTTATATCTTATACTTTATTGTTTATATCTTATAGTTTATACTTTATATGTTATACTTTAAGGGATCATTAATCACAACAGACAATGTGCTCAAAACAAACATTAATACCTACTAAGTTAGAATGAGCATCGAAATTTAGTAAATATTAATAGTTAAGTCCATATAGTAGTTGTGCAGGTAAGTATGCACACAAAAGTTTGACTGTCAACAAAACGGACCATGCACGAGATCTTAAGCATCGATGATATGCACACAAAAGATGTGGCTTATATGACAAAAGAAGGGTTACTTTGGAGGCGCAGGTTCATGCGTCTTTTTTCTGTCTTTTACTCGAAGTTCCAATTGCCGATTCTTGTATAGAGTCATCATATGAAACTTCCGGTCTGTTGCTTGCACTACCTGTTTGGAGTTCAAAGTCGATAGATCTTTTTGCCCCTGTTCTTTTTTCTTTCTCAGGCGCAGTCGGCGATGGTGTATCAACCACTGAGGCAAGCAGTTTGTGTGTTGTTGGGGTTAGCTGCTCCTCCACAACCACCTATTGCGTGTTAATATACATGTACTATTAGTAATGTGTTTTTTTTTTTTTTTTAATTGGACGTATTCTACTTGTAAATACAATCTATTGGAATTATATTATTAATAAGGCATTTCTTTATCTTAAGAGAAAGCATTTATCTTATAATTGCACTTAAGATAAAATCCCTAGATCACATATAGTTATAAGGTATGGTTACGCATAGAGATGGTGATCATGGAACATACCTTGATTTTAAAAACAGTTCCAAGTCGATGGATGTTTCGAGATGGGATATCGAATAATCCATAAAAGACTTGCACATAGTTTGTACGCTTNAGAGATGAATAGTGATTCATAACCGGGTTAATAAACTTGAAATAGAATCATAGTTATTAAGTCAATTTGGGTTTCGACAAAATCATACACAAGAGTTAATCGGGAAATTAGATGTCGAAAGGATTTTACATGTATGGAGTTGTAATCGGAATAGGTTTACTCGCTATTCACTTAATACTAGATTCATGCTACTTGTTAGGTGTTCCCATGATATGTGGGTTCATGAATTAAAGGGTTAATTCATGAATAAGAGTTAATAAGATTTAACTCAAATTATAAAGTGTTATAAACCCACTACTAGTATTAAGGTGAACCTAAAAGGTCACACTAATTATGAACAAAGGTAAAGATTGTATTTCTAATGGTTAGAATTAATTGATAAATATCTAATTTGATTAGATGTCAATTAAAGGAATATATTAATCAATAAGATTGATTAATTACATTTTGAATATTGCTTTAGTAATTAAGGTAATTACTAAATTAATAAAGTTGAATTTTAAAATAGGATTTTAAATTTCAAATCCAAAATAATAATAATATGATTATTATAATATGGATGAAAATTGGGAAAAGAATATAATAATAAAGTCTTGGAATAGATTCTCACGATTTATTATTCTATTATTATGAATATAATAAATGGTGGTTAATGGTGGTTATGAACCACCTCACATTGTTTAATATATATAAAGTCANAATTAATAAAGTTGAATTTTAAAATAGGATTTTAAATTTCAAATCCAAAATAATAATAATATGATTATTATAATATGGATGAAAATTGAGAAAAGAATATAATAATAAAGTCTTGGAATAGATTCTCAAGATTTATTATTCTATTATTATGAATATAATAAATGGTGGTTAATGGTGGTTATGAACCACCTCACATTGTTTAATATATATAAAGTCAATAGTTAGTAATTGTATTTAAATAAAATCAGATTTTATTTAAATATTACTAAATATTGATTATTTTATGCTAAAATGTTTAGTATAAATAGATGTAAATGGTTTACATAAATTTGCTAATTTGATTTTCAAGAAAGTGTTCTTAAAATTCAAGAGTTAGAAGAAAAGTTCTTCACAATAACAAGAAAAGTTCTTGAGAGTTTCCTGAATTAAATCCATATAAATTCCTATACGAGAAAACCGAGTCATTCCTACTAGCGAAGGAAGGTCGTCGGAACCGGGATTCATAGGGTGGATACTGTTAGAGGGAAGACACTTGGATTCCTCAAGCGAGTAACCTCAATTCGTTGAAGTTATCAAACCGGGAACCGATTCCCTCAAGTTCATCGTTTGTGAAGGAGTTCAAGACAAATCGGTAAATATTTGTACTGGTATTTACTTTTATATAACAAATCAAAATTTGTATATGATGCATGTTTTAAAGATGACGATCAGTTAATTCGCAATTAGTATGTACGGGTGTTGTATTTATACGATAAATACTTACTTTGAAAAATTTAAATTCCGCTGCTTAAAGCCCGTACGGTACTAGCGAACACAACATAAGTATGATGAGAAGAAACGAAAAAAGCAAAAGCAAGAGTAAATTATTCTATGGTCAAGTGTATGTAAAACCTCTTTTCCTAGTGCGTATGGGCGAACAGAAGTGTTTGTTTCTTCCATAGGCATTATAGATTCATTGTTATCCTCATTTACATAGACAACGACAACAGCATAGTTTTACTCGTCCCTGTCCTGGTAGTCTGAAATGCAGTGCCTTAGGAAACAAGTGATCTGTTTTTTTTTTCGAAGTTTGCTTCAACCTCCATGCAAGTTTCAAGCTGCAGGTTGAAATGAATAAGTATACATACTACACCAAAGGATTTCTACTAATTTAGTATAAAGCCTGGCTTGTTGCTTGCATTATTCGTATCAGAGCAATGAGATTAAGTGTTGTGCGTAAAAAATCGAGTAAACTAAAAAGAACTATGAACTTTTTACCTCGTTTTTGTTCAAGCTTATTTGTGCTGCTGTCATTGGAAGCAACTGTTCTGCCTCTGGACTAGTAATAACAGCCTGTATAAGCCCACTGTTGTCTTCAATTCCCAGCGTAAATCTGCATCTGTAATAAGTGTTTCAATGATATTGTAGACAATATTTATAAACAAGCTGTAAATAACAGGTGTTTCATTTTATTATTTCAATACCTAGGTTCTACTGTGCCTTCTGCTTTGCATTGAGGGCATGTTACTATCCACCCAACTTAGGCACGAAGACCTTTCTTGCAATTTTGGCAAGCGGTGAACCAGTAAGATGTCTGCCCATATGTAAGAACAGCCTTTCCTCGAACCCATGCCGTTTTCAACTAATCACATTGAATATAATTAAATATTTTTTGAATGCATAAAATCGTAATCCCTGTGGGAGAGAATAGTTTGAGAGAAGAACTCATTACTCTAAATGTGCAAATTTTTTAGTGCTGATTGTACTGAGATGATCTCCGATTCATTTGGTGGTGGTAAAAGAAACTCAGGGTCTTTATACACCTTTAATTCTAGTTGATGGTTCACTTCTTCTTTGTGTTCAAGGTACCTATATATTTAATTGTAAATGATTTCAGTATACAATGAAGTACAGGAACTGGAAGCAATAAAAGAGGCAACATCTGTTACCATTGCTTTAGAGCAGCAGCTTCGGCCATGGGAGGATTGATCAATATGTTGCTGACGTAAGTTGTTGTCACCGACAGCACTGCCCGCGAATATTTTTTTAGAACTTTGTATTTTTAATAATGATGACGACCAGACTTTAAATAATATAGATAAAGTTATGTAAGACTTACGATTAAAAGTTGTCACTCTGACCCTCATTGCAACAACAATATTATCAGTAGGCACTGTGCTTGCTAACTTGCCACCGTCTTCTTTTGCAAACTCATTCCACAATGTTAAAATCATAGGTTTGTTCCTATTTGAAATTATTGGACAAAAGCAAATTAAATCAACCTTTTCATTTCATTTTGGAGTAGATAAACTTTATGAAGTATATTCATCTTACTCTGCATTGACGATAACAAGATCTTTAGTGTTTGAAGTTGATGAAACATCTTTTGGTGGCAATGCATGAACAACAATACCCATGACATCTGTCCAAAGCAAATAAAATATAATTCGTGATTCAAAACTTGTGAGTAAATAATTATTTTTAAGGAGATGTTAATTTATGAAGAAGGCATTAATTATTTTCTTATGTTCTCCTTTTTTTTTTGTTCTTTTTTT